CCGGGTAACTCAGCTAGTATATATATATATATATATATATAGTACATTAAAAAATAACGAATAAAGTTTATTCACAATAAAACACGCAAACTTTAATTATCAACATACACACCACAATATAGGTTCGATGTGTTTGTACCGATCCATAAACATCCCAGCAACCTCAGTTACATTACACTAGCACATACCTGAGCCACTTTTTCTCCAACGTTATGCTTGTTGTGAACCTGCATTTCCCTGAAAAGCTTGGATCTCGTTGAAGAGTGGTTATTTTCTCTTGGTTTGGTGTTGTTTTCTACAATCGCGTTGCTTAAAGATGGAGATCGTGAACGCTGTTGGTGAGACCGGAACCTGGACAAGTCTGAGTCTGATGAAGCATTGGGCAACGGTTTACTCAGGTTGTTGGCTGTGTAAAATAATATCTTAATAAGAAAAGCATTTCGTTTTCTCACTGCCATATATGTTAAACACCCTACCCAAGTTATTCATATTGCCAAGCATATGTTACGCTGGTTTTAAGCATAGATCTGTTACGCTAGTTCTAAGGATAGTTTATGCGAGTCTGCTTGATAGATATGTTATGCTAGTTTTACGGAACCATATGCTTGTTGTTTACATTTAGTAAATTATTTGTACCAGTTTTAAGTATAAAAATGGAAAACAGTAGTTAACGTATGTTTTGATGGTTGGTCTAAGTGTTCAAAACTATTGAGTATGAGTAAAGTTGTATAATAATTAGATTAGTTACCAGTCTCTCTAGAACTGTGAAATATACTGGAGAGATTAGTTTCATCATCTTTGAATGGATGATTGACTTACAGAACATATTCTATACACTAATACAACTGGTTTGAAGAGAGTAATTCTCTAGATTTAACATTCAGTGTGAAAATCTTTAGGTTTAACTTTCTGTGTGTAACCATCTATGTTTAACTTTCTGTGTGTAACTATCTAGGTTTAACTTTCAGTGTAAAACTCTCTAGCTTTAGATTTTAGTGTGAAACTCTCTGGGTTTAACTTTCTGTATGAAACTGTTTAACTTTCTGGGTATAACTCTCTTGGTTTAACTTTCTGTTTGTAACCATCTAGGTTTAACTTTCTGTGTGTAAACATCTAGGTTTAACTTTCTGTGTGTAACTATCTAGATTTAACTTTCTGTGTGTAACATCTAGATTTAACTTTCTGTGTGCAACCTTCTAGGTTGAGCTTTCTGTTTGTAACAGTATAGGTTTAACTTTCTGGGTGTAACTATGTAGATATAACTTCCTCTGTGGAACTATATATGTTTTTCTGTGTGGAATTCTAGGTTTAACTTTCTGGGTGTAACTATGTAGGTACAACTTTCTCTGTGGAACTATATATGTTTTTCTGTGTGGAATTCTAGGTTTAACTTTCTGTGTGCAACTCTCTAGGTTGAGCTTTCTGTTTGTAACAGTATAGGTTTAACTTTCTGGGTGTAACTATGTAGATATAACTTCCTCAGTGGAACTATATATGTTTTTCTGTGTGGAATTCTAGGTTTAACTTTCTGGGTGTAACTATGTAGATATAACTTCCTCAGTGGAACTATATATGTTTTTCTGTGTGGAATTCCAGGTTTAACTTTCTGGGTGTAACTATGTAGGTACAACTTTCTCTGTGGAACTATATATGTTTTTCTGTGTGGAACTCCAGGTCTAACTTTCTGGGTGTAACTATGTAGGTACAACTTTCTCTGTGGAACTATATATGTTTTTCTGTGTGGAACTCCAGGTCTAACTTTCTGGGTGTCTCTGAAGGTTTAAATATGTGTGTGTGACTCTCTATATTTAACTTTCTGTGTGGAACTATCTAGGTTTAACTTTCAGGGTGTAACTCTCTAGGTTTAACTTTTTGGGTATAACTCTCTATGTTTACCTTTCTATGTGTAACTCTCTAGGTTTACCTTTCTGTGTGTAACTCTCTAGGTTTAACTTTCTGTGTGGAACTCACTAGGAGTCATACACTCCACAGAACAATTAAAATATGTTCATTTCCTTTAATATCGAATAAATTACTTATAAAATAATGTTAATCTTGTAGAGCAGTTTATTGTTTTTCAAATAAGGCATATTGTAATCTGTTATGTGATCTAAAATGCAAAGGATTGCTCATTCAACATACGCAGTAAATGATCTTTTTTTTTGTATTTAATGTTTTTTACTCTAACTATCGCGAAATATCAAACATTAGTTTTGTAGTCGTTTATATTTCCCACTTGTCCTTCAAAATGGTTGAACGCTAACTAAACTCACTGCTAATACCACATTAACTGTTACTCAAGCGGCTTAGAGCCGCGATATTCTAAGCAACTTCATGCAATTTCTAGTCACTTCAAATGAAAGGCTTATGATAAAATGCTAAAGATACAATGAGGTTAAATATATAATGCATTCCCGTGTTACGTAAAATATTTTAATAATGCTTAGTAGGAAGATTTACTGTATGAAAATAAGACAGCAAGCAAACTAAAATTAAGTATATTTTTAAAACTGATTAACAGTGATAGAAATGACTTAAATACCAAAACACTAGAAATGTCTTTCTTCTTTTACAAAAATCTATCCTAAATATTGTCTCTAAGTTAGCCACGAGTTCTCGTAAATAATCCTGTTTTACGATAAAAACCAACAACTGCATCCGTCCAAATTTATCAAATCATAATGTTAAAAAAAGATTACAAAATGTAATAATGGAGAACTACAAACATTACTAGTGATAGAAACCTCTAAATATGTGGATCATATAAGGAAAGAAAACAAAAATCATCCTTGCGGACGCCATTTTAGTAGTTTAGAACATGACGCTAACTATGTTTAAAGTAAGTACCAAAAGATGGCGCTAAAGATATCTTGAAACCATCCAATTCACAAATTAGGGACTCTCCACTAGAACGAATAAATCTTCATATAGATTTGGCTCATTTAATTTTTTTTCCATCTATACATTAAATCAGTCTTTTTTATAATTTACTTTACGGTATTAAAGGCCAAAATTAGAAGAGCAGTGAAACCATCAGACTACTATACGTTATGGAAATTACACTAGACTGTACGTTTTTTCTCCCCGCAATGGACTAATTAAGAGGAACATGTGTGTGTGTGTTCACTTGCTGTCTCATATACTTTTTATCATCATTATTAAACCTATTGTTCTAATTAATTACAACATTGTTTTCGAACAATAAATCCTACCACTAGACCTTACTGAAAGCTTATGTCGTTCTAGAGCAAAGCCACATGGGGCTATCTGCTGTGCTCACCGCGGAGAATTGAACCACGGATTTTAGAGTTGTAAGTCGTAAACTTACCACTGTTCCACCAGGGGACGAGTACTTTTGCCAATCACGATGAGAAGATACTTATAACGTTATACTCATAAGTATTGTATATATTGCTGTACTGAGTTTACCAATCTGCATATCATTGTTTAAACTATTTTTGGAGCGTTTTTTTTATTTGATTTACAATCTATATGCTTGTATATTTTCGAACTTACAACAGTCTCTTATTATTTGAAATAAATAATAGAGACCTTAAAACTCTTGCTAATAAACAGAGTTAATAAAGGTCTGTTTTTATTATCCTACGTTTCACACTTACAGCTTTTTCAAGAATGAAATTATGAGCTGAAAAACACAACAGCAACAAAAGGGTAGAGCTGTTCAGCTTTAGAACACAACATTCTAATTTGCGTGAGAAATCCTAGGCACGCAGCATTGGACATAATACCATTTAGTCCGTTATTAGGTCTGAAGAAAGGCAGTAGCCCCACACTGTTTATAGAGACGGACTATACAGGAAGACGAATAAAACTGGTGAAAAATTGGCAGGCCTTTGAGGATTATAACCCAAAATAACGTCGCTTCCCATTTAGTTTTTTTAACCAGCTTTGAGCTCATCTGTAAAATGTTTGTGTCTTCTTATTCTTATTATGTAAAAATGCCTAAAATAGTTGAAGGAACACACTACAGAATATAGTTTTGAAACTAATGCCATTCACTTTATATTCAGTTTTATTCAGTCACGATTAGTGTCAAAATTTAATCAAAATAAACTGACTGTTTATCTGTATGTAATACTCCTACACATTTATATTTTAATTATGTCGATACACATCTTTTATTTTATTGTACTTTTATAACAGATAAATCTCTTGAAATCACAAAGCAAGTATTACTGAAATTTTGTCACGTTAACGTCCAAGAGACTGACCTTTAATGTCTTAATTACATCTTTCGAAATTATTTATTGACATAACTCCGAAATTCCATTGATAATTGAACGTTTATGTTGCTTTTTCACTGTTCTCCCTGTAGGTAATGAAGCTATTTTCAGTGCTGCATTTTTGGTGTTCAAAAATGCAATGCTTTTAAAGGAATTTACTAATTCCAGTGAATAAACTTGGGATTTCGAAAATGAAATTCTAGTCTCTTTAAAATGGTTGATTCTATCGCGCACAAATTAAGTTGTTGTTTTTTTTCAACTCTTAATAACAGTGAAATAATGTGCTCGCGCAAAACACCCACAGGAGCGATCGCACTGGATGAACTATGCAGGATTGATGAATGAAGAGTTTGCAGAACGGGAAATCACGATTCATGACATAGAAGTAGACAGTGGTTCCCAAACTTTCCCCAAGTGCTGAATCCTTTTGCATATATATATATACTACTGAAAAAACTGTTTACAAGGGAGATGAAATCATCTACGAGATGGTTATGTGTAAAAAGGCTGTTTGTATATGTAGCTTATATATTAAGGGTAAAGTGTGAAAGGGATTGTTTGAATATGTAGCTTATAGATTAAGGGTTAAATGTGAAATGGATTGTTTGTATATGTAGCTTATTGGTTAATGTATATAAACACCTTACTTTTATTCTCTGTTTATCAACCACTCTGTTCTAACGTGTAGATTTGTTCGCATGACATAAACATAAGAAACTACTGGTGGACCCACTGTTAATCAAGGATAAGAATTAATAAAACAGAGAAGCTCGGGAGAAGAATAACTGACGCGTGAAGCAAAGCTTATAGTTACTGTACTTCATTCGTTTAATATGTTTGTTTTTTGAATTTCGCGCAAAGCTACACGAGGGCTATCTCCGCTAGGCGTCCCTAATTTAGCAGTGTAAGACTAGAGGGAAGGCAGCTAGTCATCACCACCCACCGCCAACTCTGGGGCTACTCTTTTACCAACGAATAGTGGGATTGACCGTCACTTTATAACGCCTCCACGGCTGAAAGGGCGAGCATGTTTGGTGTGACGGGGATTCGAACCCGCGACCCTCAGATTACGAGTCGAGCGCCTTAACCACCTGGCCATGCCGGGCCCGTTTAATATGTACATATATATAATTCTGTTATATTTCAGCTCTGTTTTTGTGAAATAACTACTCGGCGAATGAAACGTGTATATAGAACGATAATTATATAAGGTCAATTAACATCTATCAATCTATTATTAAGTGTTAAATTTTATATAACCAGAAAACTGCTAAATATCTAAAAAATAAATAAAACTAAGAGATTAGCAATTAATTTTGTACTCTTTGTAAGGGTTATGAAAATAAACGATAAAATTGCATATTATTATTATTTAGCTATTTACAATAATTTTCAACTCGACAGTTTCAACACTGATACATCGTATCCGGTAAGCTAAACACAACATACGCTTCTGAACAAAAAAAAGTCTGACATAAATCAATTTTCTCTATGCATATGGCCACGCTGCATTACATTCTGTTTTTTGGTGCATTCGGTGAAACTATTTTACACAATATTGAAATATAGATATATTTTCGTACTACATGTACGTCCTTACGCGTATATATATATATATACGCAATTTCACTTTTGCTTTATAATCATATTTATATGTATCACAAGTTCGGATGCAAAAATCATAATATTATTTTCACAGTTCCCGAAATAATTATACAAGTGTGTGTTTAGTATCATTAGTACATGTTTAGTTCTGTTGTCGATGTACACGAATAGATCCCGACTGAAAAGTAGTTCCATCGAAATGCATACTTATCAGATATTAAAAAAACAATTTTTAATATCTCCAATCGAAGACTTATTCTCTGTTTCTACATATCATCATCTTCAGAAGTGTGTTCCTGATGTTTTATCTATCTACCTGTCTAAGTGTGTTCTTGATGTTTTATACATCTACCTGTTTAAGTGTGTTCCTGATGTTTTATATATCTACCTGTTTAAGTGTGTTCCTGATGTTTTATATATCTACCTGTTTAAGTGTGTTCCTCATGTTTTATCTATCTACCTGTCTAAGTGTGTCTTGATGTTTTATATATCTACCTGTTTAAGTGTGTTCCTGATGTTTTATATATCTACCTGTTTAAGTGTGTTCCTGATGTTTTATATATCTACCTGTCTAAGTGTGTTCCTCATGTTTTATCTATCTACCTGTCTAAGTGTGTTCTTGGTGTTTTATATATCTACCTGTTTAAGTGTGTTCCTGATGTTTTATATATCTACCTGTCTAAGTGTGTTCCTGATGTTGTATATATCTACCTGTCTACCTTTATACGATTAATCATTGTGTTGCTCCTTTGGTATTAGCCATGACAAAGGTTTCAGGTTCTGCTCTTCTTAAAGTTAGTCCTGGTTATTTTCCTGCGAGAAGAACCGGTGCAGTTATAGCTGAAGCTATGATAATTATTTCTTACAAATAGTTCTAAGTCGATTTTTGTTGTTGTTGTGAGGCCTGGTGGTTAGGGCGCTCGACTTGGAATCTGCGGGTTCGAAACCCCATCACCGAACATGCTCGCCCTTTCAGTCGTGGGGCTTTACCATGTGATGGTCAGTCCCACTACTCGTTGATCAAAGAGTAGCCCTAGAGTTGGCAGTGTGTTGTGTTGACTAGTTCCCTTCTTTCAGGTTTATCACTACTAAATTAGGGACGGCAGATAGACATCGAGTAGCTTTGCACGAAACTCAAAACAAATCATTGTTGTTGCGAGATAACTTGAGATCACCAGTGTATTTAAAATATTTTATTCATGGACATGGTTCTGAAAAGGGAAGTAGAATCAGTGTCTCAACTCGATGTATATACATTAGTGTTCAAGCCCTGATTTCGTGGACATGGTTCTGAAGAGGGAAGTAGAATCAATGTCTCAACTCGATGTATATACATTAGTGTTCAAGCCCTGATTTCGTGGACATGGTTCTGAAGAGGGAAGTAGAATCAGTGTCTCAACTCGATGTATATACATTAGTGTTCAAGCCCTGATTTCGTGGACATAACTCTATAGTATTTTGACAGTTTAATATATATATATATATATAGTAAAGGAGGGAGGAAGAGACCCGATTAGAACATGACCCTCCCAGGTCGCGCACAACAACCAAAATACCGATCCAGACAAAACAAAACTCAGGGTAAGAATATAAAAAAGAAATGGTTGAAACGAAAGAATCTACATTCAATTATTCGTCTGTAAAAATTTTGAAGTATCGCCCAAGTGAAATGGCTATACTGCTTTTCATTCAGTGTTAACGTCCTAAGCAGTCCAAGTGCGAGTAAAATGAAAATTTTTAGACTCTCTCAAAGCAAATTGATATACCATCTACATCTAGATTGTAAACTAAGTTCGAAATGAAGGTACATTTAACACAGTTGTTATAGTGGCCGATGACACTTTTTCTTCACTTCCCATAGTGACTACAAAGCACGTTCGCACCAACAGTATGTTTCACAGTTGTTATTGTTTTTTTGTTTTTTTAAGTGTATAAAGTTAGTGTATTAACAGCCTCGAAACGAAATACTTGACAAAATTGAACATATGAAAGAAAGCATAACTCACAACAAAGAATAAAAATTGTAAATACTTCATGTTGTCATTTCAGTTATTTGTTTTTAATTTTTATATGTAAAAACTAAGAAATTAAAATAGAAAGATTTACCTTGGCCAATGACAATGGTGAGAGATCGGCGTCTCTGGGACTCAGTGGTGGGGACGGTGGAGCAGAGCTGACAGACTACACAAGACAAAGTCACACAACACACTGACACCAAAGAACATAAAGACAAAACAGGTCTACAACTTACTGCTCACGGTCCCAATGACACCAGAAAGCTATAATATAAATGGCTACAAATTCAAACTTCTAAAGTTTTGATTAGTTCCTGAAAGCTGTTTGTGCTGCAAACATACATCTCTTGAAGCTAAAAACGGGTTTACAATATTTTGCGTAAATAGTTAATATATATTTATAGATACTTTGAAACATGAAGTAAATTATTCTCCAAGTTGATTTAATTAACATTTTTTAACGCTAGGATTGAAATCCGATTCAGAAAGAAAATTTAGTTTATAATATGGAGTAAAAAATATTACTCTTAAATTTCTCTTGCAACCTCTAATGAGTATCAATTATAAAGTTTTAGCAAACAAAGTATGTTTTAAAAAAACTATGACAGCCGAAAGGTGTCAGTTTTCGCTCTTATTTTGTAGCTTACTTTCTGTATCTCCTCGTTAAAATACGAAAACAAAAACTATTTTCAAAATTAATAGAAAACCTTGTTACTTATACATTAATTCTGGTTGCAAGTTTTTTGTTTCATTTACTTCCTTCTGGGTAGTTCTAGTAATTTACCTTTAATATGTTATTCAACTGCGAAGCATGTAAAAAAAACAACACTCAAAACATGACAGCTACCTTGGCCAGTCAGTAGTAAAATAAATAACAGAGACACATGCACATTACATATATATATATATATATGTATTATACAAAGAAACCAACGTTTGTAATATAGCTAGTCTATACACATACACAAAATACTGGGTTAGTATCACGAAATAATCAGTGGTGTAACGGCAAAAAGAGTACTGGAGCTGTCCCAATGATCAATGCCATTTTTCGTAATTTTACTTTTGGAAAAACTGTAATAGTTATGATCCATCATCGTTTAATTGAAGTACACTATTTAATCAGCTATCTTACAGTAACCAATATCATATATAAAATGTTAGCTATTACAGAATGGATTTAGTAAATTAAATTGTTTTTCTTTACGTTTATTTATCAGCACTGCTTGGGACAGTTGAGCATACGTCAGTAGCTGATGTGATATGTTTATGTTCACATTCTATAAGAATGTACATGTTAAAGCTCTACCATGACTTAATATCTACTTACTCCGAATTTTACGGAATACACACACCAGAGCCCTGCCACTTAAAACAGTGATAAAAGCTGTGTTGAATTCCGATTCTGATTGATTGAAAAGTTATGTTATGCATTTAATACTAGATATGGAATAAAAATGGGCGTTCCTTGTGAAATAAAATGCTTTGTATGGGAATTCAGGAAGGCGTCTCCACTGAAACACGCACTTACGTTGTTTGACAAAAGTGTATTTTTAAACACTTGCTTTTTAGTTGTACACTAGTGAGCTTTAATACGCGTCCAGTATTAATCATTGTTATTACTATACATCTTTTAATACAAAACGTAACGAGAAAATATTTTAAGTAAATATAATAATAATTCTAATTATTAATAGCTGAGCATCACGGGATTGAGAAACGTTCTGGAAACACCACTTTGGCGCCTCAACACCCCTGCAAATAATAACTTCATTTTTAACACATTTTTTCAATACTTCATTCATAGTCACATTAAAAATCATAATTTTTGTGACCAGATAGTATGAAACAACACAATAAAAAAGGCGTCATTTATTCATGAATTTCATTCCTTTGAATTTATTCAGACGTGAACAATTAAATGTGACATCTAGATTTATGAAAATGAGTAAGAAAAAAATTTAATCTTCTTACATGTGAAACATATTATAATTAATCTTTACAAACAATACAATTAGCTTGCATGCAGTGATTCTGAAAGTTAGTGTATTTTATAAATGTATGTAATAAATTTAATATTATGCGTATTGATTTTTTTTATTTCTTCACTTCATATATAATATAAGGGTTGGCTCCCTAAAAACACCATTGTATAGTGTACAAAGCACTGAGTATTCTACATGTTACAGTCATCTAATGTTCATCTGTTATTGGCTGGTAATTCCTTTTTCACCCTGTACCTAAGCTCTTTTAAAGGAACACCATATTTCTGTAAGTGGTAAAGATAACATCGTTTACACTAGAATTATAATTTTTTTAGCTTTCACTAAGTATTACTTAGTTCCCAAGTACTATTAGAATGCTTTTCTCTCGTATTAAAGTCATTGCAAAAACTTCACGCATTTTTAGGCTAGCATGGGAAAGGAAAAGAGAAAGATGAACACTTTGGCTCTTTAGCTCGTTCCCAGTTCTCCACTTCAACAACACTTTTCAATTATATTAGGAGTTTTACAAGCTGTGAAACACTTGATAAAGGCAATTATGTGCTCAAATAAGGCTATAACTCAGCTTTAGCAGTTATTTGTAAGCATCATAGAGTAAAAGATTGAATGCGGCACCCATTTGCTTAGCGATATAGAACGCAAGAATAACTCGTGTTCCAAAAAATGTTCTGGAGTTATTAATTATCGTCCTATGAAAAATTCAGATACATTATAATAGTTCCTTTAATAAATTAAGTTCTAGTTTGATGAACGATTTACAAAAATACTGATATTTTTAAGTCTTATACTGCCCATTAGTTTATAGAGTACTGATTTACTGCGTGAAAAGACAACCACGTTTCTGTTTCTCATTAAAGCAAGATTAGGCAAAAGACTGAGACGTTACCGTAGGCGTAGCAGAGGGGGATGTGGCCCCCATGTCGAAAAAACCTTGTCTGTCGGGAGAAATACTGTTAAGAGGAATGTGGTAAATAGTTTTCGCCGATTTCTGTGCGCTGATTTATTGAAATTGTAATTATGTTAATGTAATAGTGGATTAAACGTTGTAAATAAGAAAATGATATGAGCAATTATTTGTGAACAATATCCTTTAACTCAGCGTGAACTTTCATCATCTGGTATAAGTTTTCATTATTCGAATGTGAGTTTCCGTTAATCGTGTGTGAATTTTCATCATCCTGGTACGAGATTCCATTATTCCAATGTGTGTTTCCGGTATTTTGTGTCAATTTTCATCATCCTGGTATGGGTTTCCATTATCCTGGTATGAGTTTTTATTATTAGAATGTGAGTTTACGTTATTCTTGTGTGAATTTTCATTATCCTGGTGTGATTTATCATCATGTTACTGTGAATTTTCATTATCCTGGTGTGATTTATCATCATGTTACTGTGAATTTTCATTATCCTAATGTGAGTTTCTGTTATCCGAGTGTGAATTTTCATCATCCTGGTGCGAGTTTTACTATCCGAGTGTGAGTTAAAGTTGTTTCCTTTTTCATTTCAAATTTATACAGTTGTATAAAAATTGATATATTTTGGTACTATTTGGCTAGAGGTTTGTTTGTGTTGAATTTCGCGCACAGCTACAAGAGGGCTATCTGCGCTAGCCGTCCCTAATTTAGCAGTGTAAGACTAGAGGGAAGGCAGCTAGTCATCACCACCCACCACCAAACTCTTGGGCTACTCTTTTACCAACGAATAGTGGGATTGACCGTCACATTATAATGCTGAAAGGGCGAGCATGTTTGGTGTGATGGGGATTCAAGCGCCCTAACCACCTGGCATACCGGACCTTGGCAAAAGGAATGGTTATTAAATTTATTTCAAAATAATTTTTTTCTGCAATTTATCAATCTTTTACCAACGCGTGCTTAATGACAAACATAAGCTGAGTTTTAGGTTGTAATGTACATAGGCGTAGCAAGTCGAACTTTTTGGAGAGGCTGTTTGGTTGTAATGTTCCTACAGAAAACAACATTCCCTCAGCAAACTCGAACACAAGTTTTAAAAGTGAATTATATTTAGTTAGAAAAATTAGAATAATGGCCAGGAATATTATTTGTAAGCTGAATAAAACAAAATGTAACGATCAAACTGACTAAAAATGCAACAAAAAAGGAACAACTTGAATTCACACTCAAGCAGTAGAATCTCACACTAAGATGTTGAAAATTCAAACAAATATAACGGAAACTCACATTGAGATAATGAAATTTATACCGGGATAATGAAAACTCATACCAGATAATGAAAATTCACACCAGATGATGAAAGGTCACACTGAGATACTGGAAATTAAAGAAAAGTTAATGAAAAGTAATAAAAACTAGATTACCTCTTAGTTCAAATCTAGCAACAAAATAACGAGAGTGAAGAATACAAGTAAAGGTATAAAAAGAAGTGAATTATTGGACGCACGTCTCCACATTTTTACCAATTTAATGACAATGGCATTCAAATATACGACAATGGTAATTTGTTTTTTTTTAGGATCTTAATTTTTTTAGGGAACGCTAAAATAATGTTTTTTGTTGCATTTTCTTCATAAAAATTCAAACTTCAATTAACTTGGTTAAGGAAGCATAGCACATACATGAACAAAAACTGAAAAAGATATTAACAGCAAATCAAAGGTTGGCTCATGGAGGTTTTACTGTTTATTGTCTTGTATGAACATTAGAAAAAGTCCACAACCTCTTTGAAGATAATTTGTAACATCCATCATATCTCCAGATGAAATAATTTATTTTAACATTTTTGCATAAGGTTCGAAACAAATAAACACAATTTTTTAGGTGCGTGGTATGCGTTGATGACATACACAGAAGAGTCATTATGTTGTATTGGGAAACACAAAGTAACTTATCATTTTATAGAACTTAACAGTATCCGCCAATTATTTTAAATTGCGTCAATAAATGAGTCCATAGACTTCCAAACTAACAGAATATCCGCTCGGATAGTTTTCAAGATTTCTGTATTTGAACACATTTATTAGACGCCTTTTATTATACCACTTAAAACAAATAAGATAACTATGTCTTGTATATAACAGAAAACCTGAACAAGTTCTAGCTAGTTTAAAGTTTCAAGAGCTACAGAAAAGTGACCACAAATATTATAATAAGTTTCGCAATCCATTTAACGATGAAGCTAACACATTTACAACACATGAATGATATCAAGTTCGCATATGTAATGCATAAGCTGTAATCCTTAATATAATATGCTAAATATAGAATGCATGTACGGACTTGAAAACTAGAATTTTTCAGTGTGGTTAATTATTGTGAAATTGTGCGCATTATCGTGATTTTTTTAAGGCAAAACATATCACTCATTAATAACATCGCAAAATTGTGTATATCATTTATCATATTTCAGATAGTTGCTCAATTTATAACAGCACCTACCTGCTGCAAAAGGAAATGTCTTCAGAGTTTCATGCACTTGATATGCAACATCTAGCGACTTAACTGGTGTAACCGGCCCAAGTACTTGTCTTGAAACGTCATCCATATCACGCGACATAGGGTAAGTTCTGGAACGATCTCCTATTTCCAAACTTCTTGTTCTTTCCACTGCATGATGAGAGAAGAATGAGGACTGGTCTGATGTAACTGCTGTTTTCATGGTGGCATCTTTATCTGGGGTAAGCGTCATGTCCACTTCTTGCCCATATTCCTCTCCGCGACGAACACCAGGTAATCTCAAACGCAGAGATTTACCAAGGGCAGCTGTAAAAGATATTTTAAACGTGACATATATATATAGTTTCATGAACTTATGTAAATGTTTATCTGTTTATTAAGAAATCTAAAGTCTAGTAATTTATTTCATAATCCACCACTAAACATTGGGATTTTTTGGTGTTGTTTCTTGAGTTAAAAAAAAAAGAGTCATAACTATCTGGTGTATCGTCTACTCTAACAAACAACAACAAAACCTTTTAAGTTGGAAAGTGTAATGAAACATCTCACTGGGATTACAAACAGCGTTCCAATCAATTAAGCATGGTGTTTAAGACAAACAGGTAAGTTGGGCCCTGTTATCTGCCAGAATAACCACTCTTTTACCACTAGCAAACACAAAATACAAATGAAAAGCTGTGAATTCACTCTCCTTGCAGTAAAATCGCTCTTAATTAGTTAGGAACGAAATCTTATGATGTTCTAGCATACATTCGAGCCTCTTATGTCAAAAAAGTTGTGTTCACGTATGTTGTTGAATATATACAGTATCACTGTGTGTTTCAAACAAACTTTATCTTAATTAAACAACACATTAATATTTAATTTATATTAAAAATTACATTATTTAATACTGTTGTTGCTGCTGCATGGCCTTCTGAAGGACTAAATGTACCAATATATAGAGTTAATGAAATTCGTTGAAATACAGGGTGACACCAAAAGTAATGGGGCTGCGATACTTCATACATTATAATGTTGTTGTTTTTTTATCAGTACAGGAACAGTAACAAAAGCAATTCGGTGAAACATATATTTTTCAATTGCCTTATTCTATTCTCATTTATGCTTGTATTAGTAGTGTGTTACCCGCATACAGATTGCTGTCAAAAAATGATTTTTGTATACATATTCTAGAGAATGTTTACTGTTGGATGACCTTTTAGAACTTAATTCCAGTTTCGGTATTTTCCCCCTTTCATTTAGCTAAGTCTGTGGAACTGTTAAGATATCGTTGTATTTGTTAAGTAATATTATAATTCTTAAACTAGTTCGCATGTTAAATTTTAGCAAAAAAATAAAAAACATTTGCGTACAGTGCTTTCGGCAAATTAAAGCTTTTTCACAACGTGACAACTACTGCAGCGTACTATGTACATTTGATGTTGACATTGCATGCTTATGTTCGGCATGGCCAGGTTGTTATGGCGCTCGACTCGCAATCTGAGGGTCGCGGGTTCGAAT